GTAAATTTGGCTGATTATTTAGACTTCATTTTAACTAATTCATAAATAATGGCAACCCATTCTCTTGTTATGTGTTCCTAATGGTTACAGAAAAAATTCCAAAAAGATATAAATTTAAGATTACCATGTTATTCTTATAGAGAACAAGTAAACTGTTGTCGATTGTTTGTTTATGAGCATATTTTAATCACATTTGGAAAATGCATTGATTTCATACTAAACTATTAACATTTTACCAAAAAACATTGTTACCCTCCCTGTTTTGCAGCTAACCTAGAGTAGGCCTACTCGTTAAACTAATGCTATTTAGATAGGGAATAAATGTGATATTTTTAAGGAGACATTTTAGTGTAAATCCAATTAGGCAAATAGAAATGCGCCTAGTCTGCCGTAGGTACGCTGCGGCGGGGGTATTTAGTAAATGTGGTTGTTTAATATTACATTTTAAACCAAACTTTATGTACTGATAACCCTTTACACACAAAGACTTATGCAACAGAAATGTTTTGAACGAAAAATTGTTTTAGAAGAAGACTACCATTAGTAAGTGGTGGTTAGTTCACCAACAACCATGAAATAGTTCAATACTGAGTTATCCAAAATGATAGCCCCCCCCCTTATATTTTGTATGTAACATCGTTTATCTTATGTATTTAAAAAAAATTAGTTTTCCTTTTCCGAGTTCGTTTGGCTCTTCTACCCGACCGACTATCATGATTGAGGTCTCAAATTGAAGTTATGCACGCACAGATATCATATCAAACATCAGCATATATTTATCAATAAGACAATGAGGCATTTTATTGACCCTTCAGTAAATACAAAATACAATAGGTGTAGTCAATTTTATAATTTATAGTTTACATGAAAAAAGAAATTATATGGCGATTCAGGTGCATATGGTGTTGGCTTATAGACTATTAAACATAAATCGTAAATAATTTAAAGGAGAAAAATCGAATAAAAATTTCATAACATAATAAAACAAAACAAGCATAAACTATCACAATTTCTCGCTCTAAGTATTCCTCAACCGAGTGCATGGGATTTTCCTGTAGCCATTTATAAAGTTTTAGATAAAACAACTTTTCAGACATTAAACTAACTAGGCAAGTTAGTAGTTAAGTTGGTAGTTAGTTGGTAGTTATACAGTTTCACAGCCAAATAATCATGGTGTTTTGTGCCTTAGCTAACCTACATCTCGTAATATCTATTTTGTCCCTAAATCTCGTATTGTAATAATGGACATCACATCTAAATCTAAAATTATCGATATCTTTTCTTAAATTTCTAATGACTTTAAAAATATACAGATTTATCACAGTTAAAATACTTTACCACTCTTAAAAACAAAGGTATGAAACAGACACACATCTCTTTAAATTACTCAACGAACATATTACTCTAGAAAACCTTTTAATTTTTGGTTTATTGATCATTTGAATCAGTTAAGGCCAAGACTGTATTACTCAAACAAAAACCATAAATTAGATCATTTCTTGCATATGATATTTATTCCAACGCTGCGGAGCTGCGTGGGTCCTCTAGTGGGACTTAAAATATACCGCAGTTAATGCTAATTTTTTGTTTAGTTAAGCTTAGTTAAAAACTAGGAGGATACAACACAGATTAGCTACTAAGAAAGAAACTAACTAAGAAACTACTAAAAAAGATAAAGAATGCTACTTCAGCACACCTTGTCGGTGGGTCGATTCAACTGGGTTGATTTTATTTTCTTAAGTGGTGGCATTTTTAACAAGGGAATGGAATATATTATTCTTGTGTACGTCTGGAAATGAAATATTGTTAATTGTAACTAACAAATCAATATATTGGTTAGCGAATGATTCGGCAAGTAGCACATTGAAGTCGACAGATGCCAACGCGTCTCAACTCTGGCTGGTTTTATGCACCGCGACAGTCGCGAGTCGCGAGTCGCGCCACGTCTTGCGGCTGACCAAAATGTCACGCGACAGCGACACTTTTTTGTCGCGCAAACTCACATCTGGTGGTGGGGGGATTAAAGAAATCAGTCTGTTCTCAATCCAATGTTGTGTGTTGTGTTTGTGATGTAGAAGTGATTATTAAGTTGTTTAAATATAGACCCTGTAGTGTTGTACACGTTAATGACAAAACCCCAGTCATTTAAACAACACATACAATTTACAGTTGGAATTGAGTCAACCCTCTTAAAAATGTCATTACATAATATAATTATGTAATTTATATTACAAATAAAGGGTAAAGAACTCATTTATATACTAATTATTAACATTAATCAATATAAATATATGGAGAATATACCACGTGGAGTATGAAAAATACTACTGTCGCGCCGCGACTGTCGCGGTGCATAAATGTGCCCATTTGATCCAATAGAACTTGAACCGAGCGCGACAAATTTTTTGAAGCTGCGATTCTAAAACCTGTCGCGGGTATTTTTAGAGATCTCCGAGTCGCTCGCGCGGCAGTTTGTCGCTGTCGCGGTGCATAAATGCTCCCATTTAACTCAATAGAACTTGAGTCGCGCCGCGACACGCGACACGCGACTGTCACGGTGTATAAAACCAGCCTTAGACACAGTTTAGTTTGACGACGTATGGCCAATAGATGGGATCGGTTGCAACCACAAATCGGTTGCACATCACAGCCTGGTTGACCAAAGTTGACGATCGCGCTATATTCGTCCCACTCGTGCGTCACTGTAACAATCTTGTTGCTGTATACGTTTCTGGTTACAAACCGATCAGATTGGATGCAACAACTCTGTCTGAATTGTTTAACATTCCGAGCTTTGGTTCTCGTTGCTAGAGACAACTGTTTATAATAAAGAGCTTAGGATCTCATTGTTTGGAAATTTTGCTGTTAAAGCCAGAGTCGTTATGTACAACGATTAATATATTCAATTGGAAAGCGTATTGCGTTACTTTAATTTATTTTTTCACGTATTTTTACTAGAAAATGTTTAAGTAATTGCTGATAAAAGTAGAAAGCACGAGAAATTCGAAGGTCATGAATAATTGAATGTCATAGAGTGCGTGTTCGCTATGTAACTTGTTAGTGCGTGTAACTTAGATATGTAACTAAGACAGGTTCACCACGGTCAATGACGAGTATTGTTATCTAAGTAATTGCAAGTTATAACACTGAGGATTGTCAACAATGCAGAACCACGTGCGGCCCAGTCAATAGCAGATAATATAGCCTTAGCACTGAAACAATAACATCTGTCTATGATATTTTTATAATGAAACAGTCAAATTTATGATAATCGTATGAGGTCATTAACCAAATACAGTAAATATATTGTATAGGCATGAAGCACATCAAAATGTAGCTCGGAATGCATACATTTAGCGAAAGTTATTGGTATGAACGAACTCCCAAAAGGACTCTGTCCTAGGTCGATTTCCAAAGTGATACGCCTTACATTCATTCGATGTTTTATTATTTAATCAATTGAATGAAACAGCTGGTGGACACAATTAACATCGCGATTACCTAACTGTTAATTAACTGAAATTAACTATTTATTAACTTGAAAGTGCTATTTAGTAGTTCAGTTATTAAGAGTGTTAACAAAAGTTAAGTTAAACAAGAGTTGCAAACCCTTTGTAGAATCTACCTCGAAGTTTTCTTTGGAATTTACATAATGAGCTACAGACTTGACTAAAATTGAAGAATTAGGCTAATATATTTCTGTATTAAACATTAATATAAAATAATTGTTTTATTACTACACCAAATTGTGTTTTTAAATTATTTTTATCTATTTATTTACATCATAATTAAGGGATTGGAAGTAAGTAGGTAACCTTTTAATAAGTTTATCGTTTTGAAGTAAATCAAAGTATTTTAAACACACGTAAGCTCCACTTATACACTTTAATAGTTGCCTACGAAATCTGAACACCTTTTAAAACTAATTTGATTTTCTAAAATAAACAGTCCATGTGTGTAGCTATTTCATATAGCAGATCGAAAGGACGGTATTTTCTCTTTCGCGTCTTACATACTCTTTCGTGTACACCGATTCGTTTACAATTAAATGTAGCACAGTTATTAGCAAACTGTTCATGTTATCATAATGCTTAGTAAAGGAAGATATCAGCTACTACTGCGAATTAATGATTAACGAATGTTCTTGAGTAGGTGTGACATATCTTGAAATAAAAATAGTACTAGGATGTTCAATAGTACTTCAAGTGTTTGAGTAACAAACACGACCATCAATTTAGTAATTGACAAAATATTGGTACCTAGGAATGATTAAATAACTGTTATACATGTTACACAGTCAAGTGACAAGTTCTGTTATTTACTGTAACGGTCAGTGATGTAACAGCTACACCTGTGACAAATATTGTTATATTATTTTCACTGCAACGCCTAGTGATGTAACACGAGTGACACGAGGTTCACACTACTGACATTGTAATCCCTTCACTGGACAGAGGCAGGATTATCTTGAGCTTACCTCAGTTATCTAATAGAAGTGACCATGTGGTGCCTGTATTGACGTTACATTACATAATCCACCTAAAAATACAGTTATGTAATTTGATTCATTACAACGAATATTACCACTTATCTTGTCTACATATGTGTGGCCGTTTTGCAAAATTTGTAATAAAATGTATGTTAAAAGTGTAAAAAAGTATATGATAGTTATTTATAACCTAAATAGCTGATGAGAGATTGGATAGAGAGCCTCTAGTGGTAGAGTGCGGAGCTTTGGTCCCCGAGGGCATAGCCTAGCGTTACATGAGGTAAAGGAAAACCGTAGTACAGTAATAATATGATTCACATCGATAACATCTTAATCATTGACCTTGAACATTCTTTTTCCATACATTGAACAGTATTTCATAAAGTTATGTTATTTTAGATATTGTAAAACCTGAAGGATTTATCACGTTTTACAAATTGCTCAATAACATTCTACACACTATGTTGTCAGCTGAGTTTCATCATGACCTGTGAAGTTGTCAACAGGAGAGATGGAGAGGCAAGATGAGGTAAGGTGGGCTACCAGGTGGACGAGGGGTTGTCATCGATTGTCCCAAAATAAACCCACCCTTGACCCTCCACTGTCCGCGCTGCACCGGGCAACTGCAGCTATTAAACAGCTGATTGTATATTTAGATTCAATTACGTCATGCCATGGCGTCATTCAGGGTATCATCACCTGTAGAAACATATGCCGATGGTGTTCCTTATAATAGCTCCAAACTCAGCAATATTCAGCTCCTGAAAATGTGTATTGGTGATATTTTAAAACATTACGACTAGACTGCGTACATGTATTACTAAATTGAAGAAGAGTGCCTACCGTAAAGAAAATAAAGGTGAAAGAAAACATTATTTTGTAAAAGTTAATTTATCTCTTATATTGACCAAAAATACTCCCGTTTACATTTTTTTGCCTTCCTTGTGGATAAACTGAAGACAATGCATAATATGCATGTACATGCATGTTTCTGTCTAGTATGTGTGGACTATGCGTTGGTATTAACGTATTAACTAATTGTAATTTCTTATGTTACCATACAAACATTGAAAATATTTTAAACAAATACCCCTCTTTTTTAACTGGCTCATATTTCAAACATGCAGTTATTTGCACGTTGAAAAGTTTATCTTCAAATAAAAGAGGACGTCATCAACGTACTACGTGCTCAGGTATTATAAAGGAAACAAGTATACCTAGAGTATCCAAAGTCAATGACGAAATGGCTTTTTCTAAGATGGTAATGACAATGATTAGGCCTATATAAATACACAAATAATACGCAAAGCCAAGTATTAATATATCTATACAGTATTACATAAATTTTCTGGAAACCCTTATCACTCCGTTGCAAAGCACAGGTAACGTTATTAAACACGCAAGGATTACACGCTCTACGAAATTAAACATGTAATTAAACACATCTAGGTTAATGGATCTCTAACGCACAACATTCATTATAAATGGGAAGCCGTACATCAAGAGGTACACACAACTAAACCCGTGTTAAAAATAACAGTATAAAAATAGTGAGATAATTTTGCATCGAGATCCCACGCGAAATCGAGGTTAGATAGTTTTGGTGGGAGTTTCATCTGTGTGTTTTGACAATTTAAATCCTCATGTCTCATTTGCTTGTTGGCTCTTTGATCTTAAAGCAGCTTCTCCAGTTAAGTGATAAGTTATACACTCGCGCAGCAGTAAGTCGTCATTAAAGCTCCTTCATTGGCTTACAAATTACATTAAACGCGATGTGTTACATAAATGTTACTTTGTACATAAAATATCATGGGTATTATATAACGTAAGTGCTTCCCGCCCTGTTCTGAAACCTGCTTGTTCTGAGGTTTATTTCTATACAGTTGCTTTCGAGTATGTTGATGTCGACATAAACATTTTCCTGAAGTGACGAGGTAACAGAAAACAACCTCCTACATAAAACGTAAAGGACAATATCATAAAATTAGATTTAATTATTTTACTTTTAATTATTTAATTACTTTCATTTACGAAGATAGTTAATCTAAAAAAATGTTAGTTTAATTTCTGATATAATTTCCAATTATTTGCTTTCCTTAATAAAATCTACTGCCGAGTGATTTTTTAAACATATCTTAGTTATGACTAATGGGATGGAACTCTTCAATGAAAGATTTCCCAATTCTAAAGAAACTAACATAAGGAAAAATTCTGTAATAAAATATTGATCCCATCTGACCTATCTTGCTATATTTTAGTACATTCGTGATTTAGGCTACTGAGTGTAAATAATGGTGCAGTTTAATGTATTGCAATATCCAAAGAGATGAACGTGCATTTTTACGCTATTTTCTGGACTGTAAACCTTAAATTTGTGTGCAGCGAAAGAAAAATTTTGTATACAGATGGTTACCGTTATAATATTTTCGAAGCTGTATAGGAATTTACTCACGCACAAAGTAACCAGGTTATGTAAAAGAGGGGCTTTATTTTCACCCACTAAAAAAATAATAATTTCAACACTTGTAACAGGATTAGTTGTATTAAAACACATATTTCTAAAAGTCGTGTCACAAAAACACCGACTTGTCTTGTGATTAAACAAAGAGTCCTTATCTATTGTTGTGGCGCCGATTCTGAAACACAAACACCATTATAAACCACTCTGAATATTCGTCTGCCACTCCGATAAGTTGGATATCTAATCATGTGTACGGTTGTTATTACAACATACTGTATAGGGAGGAATGAAACATGGGAATATGCAGTCATTTACATAAAGAATTAGGAGAATACACAAAACAAGATTGCTAGTAAAAATTTAACAAATAATACGAACACATTTTATTAATCTCAAAATATCTTATGTAAAATGGAATTGCGTAGCTGCAAGTAACCTATAAAGTCCCATACATTTAACCTATTACCATAACTATCATAAATTATTTTTATTTAATATTAATTTTTTTACTAACAAATACAAACTATTATAAGAAGAGAATTAATACTTTTTAGTTTTCACCAGAATAGCAAACCAGTTGAACTCAACTATTTCGATATTTTTAACAAAACTTTACTAATTATATTCGATTTTAAGCCAAAGTATTTATTTAAATATGTACTCTTTTCGGTATATACAAAAAATCCACCCACAGAACTCCGCCAACTTCCATTGAAATTGAGCGATCTTCTTGTTTGATCTTAGCATTTTTTATTGATTGAAACGTGAAATGTATCTTACGTCGTGTAAAATTACAAAAATGTTTATGAATATATCAAATAGTTTGAAATTACTTAGTTATTAACGATAAGTTTAATTTGAAATGGTATTTTGTGCAAGCTGATACAGGTTATTTAAGGACATTTGTTGTATTTTTATTGACCTCATAAATGCATCTTAACTTAGGCTTACTGCATACTTTGTGTTATTGCTCATAAAGCCTTTTAAAATAAAACCACACCTTTAGAAACAAAATACAACGGCTGCAGTGACCAGAAATTATTTATAAATCAAAAGAAAATTTGTAGTTTTAACAGCCAAGTAAAGTGTTATTCTTTGATAACCCCCCCCCCTTTAAAAAGTATTTGTTGGAAACAGTTAATATCGACCGTTAAACGACTGAAATGTGAAAGAAAATTGTTTTGTTGTGTTAGTGTTAATGATTTTAGTAACCTTTCCAGTTGTAACACAAATTATGTTACCTTGTAGTTTGCACTGTTGCTATGAACAATCAATATCATTCTCATATGTTTAATATTGGAGCTTAGAAGCCTTTGACGTTCAGTGAAACGGAACTTCAAGCAGATATTAAATCCTAGTTCCATATATTATATATTTCTTCTTCTTTTACGCTTAGCCCCATAACGGAACCATTGATACACAATTAGGCTAGACCTGGTGGGTTGCAGCATTATCACATTGATAAATCCATTGATAATTGGCGTGATTTGAACCCGGGACTTATGGGACCCAAGTCCCGCGCTCTACCATTAGAATAGCTCGCTCCCCAATACCGTATTATGTTTATGTAATAAACCTATACAATATGTAAATTATAAACATGACAAAAGTAAACTATTGGCAATTATTATTGTTGCATAGGATAAAGGTGTATGGTTGATCTTCGAACAGTCAGTAAGCTTCTTCCAAAAAGCTTAAGATGAAATATTAATTACTTGTTATGAAGCTCCGAACTTAAATCTCAACACACCTGTTTGATAAACGCGAATATGTAAATGAAAAATTCAAAGGATGTCACCATATGTACCTCCAAAATCAAGGTTAAAAAATACGAAGTTGACACTTCACATCTACTTTTTCTCCCCATTTCCATGCAAGGAATGATTTACTAATTACTCAAAATTATATTATAAACCAAGAATAACTATTTCGAGAATCACCACTTTTCATCAAAGGGTGTGTCAGCTTCGAAAAATTTACTGAATTTTAGAATAGGCAAAATATTTGGATTTCTGTTCAGGAAATTATAAAAGGCCACATTTTCTTTGTTTTCAATGATAATCTACACACATAATGCCTCCTAAACGCAAGGGAACTGGAGGATAAATTTGCCATTATTTAGTGTAAATGGACGAATCCCCAGGTTTGTTAACAGTTTTAATACTACTTCATTAGCTACCTCTATTCATGTAACAGCTTTGTGAGGTTGGCGGTCATTTGAGGAAAACACAAACTACACGTTCTTCCTAGATTAGTTTCTGCTCTGTGATTATGTTGACAACTATCATTAGTGTAAACTCTCGCATTTACTGAAAGTTTCAAACTTCATTGATCAATGTAAACTTTCCCTGTAATTATTGTGATAAATTAGACCAATCATGTTGTTCAAACATCAGAGATGGGATGCATAACAAAACATGCTACGAATTATGTATTCGAATAAGGAGTTAAATTGCAGCATCCAATGCCTGTGGCCAATTTTATAATCAAATAACTGTAAATAAAATTTCTTATAGAGGAATCGAGAATATGCAGTTGTATACATCTTTTCCCCAAACTGAAAGGGAAATGAATTGTAAACTGTAGCAACCTTTATGGAACATCTAAATCAATATAGTTAAACAAAGACACAATGAAACTCAAATAGTAGCACACTCTATAAAAGAATAGCTTAACTTTGCCCGAGTACAAAAATAGTTCATATACATAACATGTCCAAAGTAAACGGTTCACTCAAGAATTAGAATGTTTGAAAATACCAGAAGAAATATGGTTTTAGCTCTTTATTTATAATTCACTGATTGCAGTGCATGAATCTTTGCACCAGATTTAATCTACTCTGCAACATATTGCTCTATATTGTTTCTAACAGTGTTTTATGAAACGTGTGCAGCTAAGATGACCTTTTATAATGCAGTGTTTTAAATGATGTCGTGTTTGCATTAACACTTGTTTGCTTAGCTTTAAACACTCTTGCTACTTATCCTCCACCAAAACAGCCAGGGGGCGTAGTGTAAATTAACAATTCCAAACCTTAACAACAAATGGTTGAATATGTGAGCATATTT